GAGAATACCGAAGAAATTGAATTCCCACCGGAAGAACTAATGATGGTAAGCAGCGAAGATGAACCTTCAACCTACACCGAGGCTAGTCGCAAGAAGGAATGGGTACATGCGATGGAAGTTGAAATAGTCGCGATTGAACGAAACAATACCTCGAGTCTAGTTGAATTACCAAGAAATCGGAAGCCAATTGGATTGAAGTGGGTTTTTAAAGTAAAACGGGACCCGACTGGAAGAATAGTGAAGCGCAAAGCTAGGATCATGGCAAAAGGGTATGTGTAGAAGTATGGAATCGACTATGACGAGGTATTTGCGCCTGTTGTTAGAATTGAAATTGTTCGTGTTATTCTTGCCCTTGCTAGTTCGAATGGATGGGGTGTTCATCACCTTCAAGTGAAGTCAGCTTTCTTGAACAGAAGGTTAGAAGAAGAAGTGTATGTCAAACAACCAGAAGGGTTTGAGAAAAAAGTGAAGGAAATAAGGTTTACAAGTTGTCAAAAGCACTCTATGGCCTAAAGCAGTCGCCCAGAGCATGGAACTCGTGTCTGGACACTTACTTGAAAAATCTTGGATTCAAAAGGTGCCCCCAGGAATACTCTGTATACACTAGGATGAAGAATGGAAACACTTTAATCATTGGAGTTTATGTTGATGACTTGTTGGTGACTGGAAGCTCTACTGCTGATGTGAAAGAGTTCAAGATGGAGATGAGTGCAAAATTCGAAATGAGTGATCTTGGCCTTCTAACCTACTACCTGGTAATTGAGGTAAACCAACACAAGAACTCTATTTCATTGAAACAAGAAGCATATGCTAGAAACTTTCTAGCAAGGACTCGTATGCTTGAGTGTAATCCCACCAAAAGTCCCATGGAACACAAGGCACAGCTGACTAAAGAAGGAGATGGAGAGTTGGTCAACCCCACTGAGTACAGGAGTATAGTGGGTGGACTTAGGTACCTAACTCATACCCATCCACACTTGGCATTTGCAGTAGGAGTAGTGAGCCGTTTTATGGAGAGACCTACCATGGTTCATCTTCAAGCTGTGAAAGGGATTCTCAGGTATATAAAGGGTACCTTAGACCATGGTTTGGTCTATACAAGAGGAGAAAAGAAATTCAATATTGCAGGGTATTCGGACAATGATCATGCAAAGGACTTGGATGACAGAAGAAGTACAGGAGGCATGGCGTTTTATGTGAATGGAAATCTGGTTTCTTGGTCATCACAAAAGCAGAGATGTATAGCTCTATCGTCATGTGAGGCTGAGTTTATAGCAGCCACAATGACAGCATGCCAAGGCATTTGGTTAAGAAGGTTCCTGTCAACAATAACAAATCAAAATGTCCCACCAGTGACATTATATGTGGATAACAAGTCAGCTCTTGAACTCATGAAGAATCCAGTTTTCCACGGGCGAAGCAAGCACATAGACATAAGATTTCACTTCATCAGAGAGTGTGTGGAGAATGGAGAAATCACAGTCACACATGTAGAGGGAAAGGCACAGAAAGCAGACATGCTTACAAAGGCATTGGCTAGAATAAGACATGAAGAAATGTGTAAGTTGATTGGCATCAAGAAAATCACTCTGAATTAAGGAGGAGAGTGTTGGAAATTACTTTCTCGCTAGTCACACCTTTTCATTGTGGGGTGACAAAAAACCCAGACCCAATTAACACGAATACGACAACCAGGGTTGGGTTTAATAGGGTTTAAAATGGCATTCGGTTTATTCGGGTTAACCCGACTAACTCGAAACATAATTAGGGTTGGATATCTGGTTGAATTCCTAGTTGTTATTAAGGTTCGGGATAACCCGAATAACCCGTTTAAGATTAATAATGCTTTACAATTCGTACAGTACAACCATTTTAAGCCCATAGGATAACAAGTCTTTCATCATGTACAGTACTGTGAGTACAAACATCTTAAGCATAAACATTCTTCAAGTAACCTTTACGTCTCCTTCAAACTCATGCAATTAGAATCATAATGCAAAAAATAATTTTTTTTTCACAAGTCGCATCTAACTTCCTGTGTGCCAAGCTAATGAGCTATGTACGTTCTATTCATGTAATCAAACTCAAAAAAATTGAAATTCTTTACACTTTACACTTTTAACCCGCATATTTGTAAGTTATTTGCTAAAATGACACCATCTTTTTATTTCAAATTCCAACCCGAATCTTAATAGGTTGGGGTTTATGGTGAACTGTTTTTTAGAAAAAACCGATTAACCTTACCTGTTTAACCTGAAACTCGATCGACCTGATTAACAGCCATTTACTATTGTCACATAGTTAAGATTTTATTTTATTTTATTTTATTTTAAAATCCTTAACTTTTTAATTTTTTTTTTTTTTTTTGAAAAATCCCTCAACATTTTATATTTTTTTCAAAAAATCCCTCACATTTTACAAAAAAAAAAAACAATTAAAATTGCCAAATCAAAAAATATGGAAAATACATCGCCTTTTTCAAGAAAAATAAAATAAAATTGAGGTTTAATCGGAAAAAAAACACACACACAAAATATAAAGTCTTTTAACAATATTAACCCGTTAATTAATCCATGTAAGAATTATATTTTTAAGCATTGTAACTTTATATTTGTCAAACATCTTCTTCGACTTTGTTCTTTCAAATTGATCACGAACGACCAATTTGATAGTTATTGTTTTCTGTAATCCCATAAAACTACTATTTACAAAATTCAATAAAAGAAAAAGTCCAAGTTACAAAAGTACAAGCTTAATATTATATCATACATACAAAAACTTGTAAGTTTTGAGATACAAAATATGAAAATACTATACAATATACCACCTGTGGCACATTTTGGCAAGTATAAATTTGATGCAAACTAAAAAATCAGTAGAAACTAAAATTCTTGTATAGAGATAACGTTTTAACTAACAAGAAAATGAAGATTTAATCATGAGAGAACATGGAATGGTTGAGCCTCTCGAGCAACTTTAATGAAAACATCTTCAAGAGTTGTGTCTGCAAGCCCCCATGCCTGAACATCAAACCTACTTTTAGCATTCTCAACAGCACGAAAAACATCTGCTATTTTGATGCCTTCTTTTGGCAATTCAAACTTTTGTGTCCCTGATATTTCATATATCTTTTTTGCATCTGGCGAGAGACCTTTTACCAGGTTTTCTACATCCGCCTCGTGATTTGAGGATGTTGTCATTGTGAACACATATGAACCTCCGTATCTACCCTTCAGCTGTCCTCATGCAAGCAAAATAAAGATAGTAAGATTCACTCATAAAAAACAATTATACTTCTTTTTTTTACCCTTTTTTTATATTAATGTGCAAAATACCTCTTTAGGGTTTCCGACACACTGCAAGCTTCCATCTACAAAAATCCCTAACCGATCACATAGATGCTCTGCTTCCTCCATAGAATGTGCTGAAACCATATAAATTACATTTGAATGAGAACAGGTTGTACTGTGTTTGTCATATGGAACTGGACTGGGACAAAAATTGCAATTTTTTGTCACAGTCGTTCTCGATCTGTTAAGTGGAAAAGACGTTAATGCCCTTTGGAAAGAGTATTGGAGGATTACTGGTGAGGATAATTGCACGATTCTGTTTAGCCCGTTTCACCACATTCCATAGATTGTTTCTTGAAGCTGGGTCGAGTCCGGTACTGGGCTCATCCATGTACACCACCTTTGGATCTCCAATCAATGAAATGGCAACACTCAGCCTCCTCTTCATGCCTCCACTGTACTTCCCAGATTGCTTGTCTGCAACCCCACCATTAAATAGATTCACACTTCTTAGAGATTCTTCAACTGCCTAAAACAACCACATTTACAGCAACTAAATAAGTTACAGATTGTATCACATTTGGTGTCGATAGGAAAAAAGCTTTTGTTTTTCGTCCACAAAAGGGTGGGACACACAGGGACTCGCACTTGATCTCTTGTATGTGTAAAAGACAACAACGCCCTTCCCATCCTCATCATCAAATATATATATAGCCCTAGAAAAGCGTGTCTAGTCATGTCCCATGTAAGAAAGATAGCAAATGCGAATGTCAACTTACTTGTGTCAATGCGGTACCTTTAAGGTTCTTAAGCCTTCCATAGAAAAGAAGATGCTCCCTACCTGTTAGGGTTTCCCACAGCAGGCTATATAATAAAAATGGTAGAAGGAAGAAACCAACATAATTAGTAAAGCTTCCAATAAATGATGTTTAAAAAGTATTTTAGAAAATGATGGAATTTGTAAAAGGGGAAAACCATCATTTTCCTTACTTTCTCTATTAAGTTGTCCTTGTTGCATTAAATCAAAAAGAAAACACTCGTATATATAGCTTTTACTGGATTAAGTCCAAAAAACTTGGGATTTTGATACTTACTCATGCTGAGGACAGACACCCATGTTGGCATAAATCCCATCCATGTCACTTGTTATATCCAGGCCACGAACATATGCTGTGCCAGAGCTTGGCTTAACCAGCCCAATCATCTGTCAACACCTTAGTTGGGTTAAAAGCAAGAAATAGCAACGTATTTTAGTTTTTTATTACTTTCATTTCCTCCTATCACACCATTATACTTTAAAAAAATCTACCAAATTATAACAAAATCAAATTTCACTGCTATGATTGGGTAGATTTTTCAAACTACATTGTCCTAATAAGAAAAAAAAACTGAAAGTATGTACAACACAGTATGCACCTATCTGTTTGTTATTCAAATAAACAATTGTGAATTAAGAGATGTTTTTACACTAACCATATTAATGAAGGAGGTTTTGCCAGCACCATTTGGACCAAGCATACCAAAGCACTCTCCTGTAGATAATGCAAGTGACAACCCTCTAACTGCAATCTTCTCTGGGTTTCCATCCCTTCCTGGATACACTTTTTTGAGGTTATCACAGACAATATCATGGCTCCTGTCTTGTTCAACTACTAACTGCTCAACCCTCTCCCTCTGATACAATGTCGTATTTACCAAAGGTTAGAGAACATAATAATAGAAACCTCGAGGCTTAATGCACATATGCTGACATATCAATATCCTATCCATTTTGTTACTTAAAATATTATTAAAACTAATTATGACTACTGAGTAAAGATGTACTCTATACTTGCCTCTTGGGCAACATCAGGTTTCTCCAACTGCACATATACTTTTGAACCTTGTCTTTGTAAACTGGGCTTCCTAAAGGACGACAAGGGCTTCTTTTTAAACTTTTCCAAGAAAAAAAGTGGACTTTTTCGGGCCCCACTTCCAGCTGTTACAACCTGGTCAATATAGTATGCCAAAAAGAAAACCACCACCCATTCCACAATCATGATTATTAGGACATGACTCATCTCGTTATTGCTGCCACTTAAATCCTCCCAACGCATTCCATCTGTCCCCATATAGTTTCCGGTAAAAGCATACTGTGAAAACTCATATAATCCAGCATAAAGAGAAAACCCTGGATATAACTCCATCACAACAATCCAAGCTCCTACAGAAAAAAATGCACAAAGATTTAGACAAATAACATGAAATCAGTAACATTATCTGATCAAAACTACATTATTTATATCTTTACTTACTTGGAAATGATGTATCTTGAAGGAAGAACTGGAAGAAGAATCCTCCCAAGAGACCGGTTGCAAAGACAGTAATGTACCCCACAACTGTCATAATCATATCAATACAAGTCATAACCCACATGTATCTCTATCATTCTTAAAAGAAACCTTATGGCCCCATGTGTCACACATGACACGACAAGACATATTGTGTTTCACGTGCATTAGACTGGGACTCAGACCGATGTCAATGGAACAAAAATTGCAATTTTGTGTCACGCCCGAAAAAGCAAAGGTGGGATAGGGACTCGCTCTCGATCTCTCGTATGTGCAAAAGACGTGAATAGCCCTGGAAAGTTTCTCCAATCCAATCATGTCCCTGTCTAATAAACGCAACCTAAGCAATGCATGGAAAAATATGACAACAAACCTGCAGCAGTCTTCACATTGGAGAAGAGAGCAGCTACCAGAAATGCAAGAGAAATTTGTAAGTTTACATAGATGGTATAGAACACAAACTGGATGCTGTAGTCATTCAATGTGAAAAACTTTAACCCTGAAATGAATTGAAGAGCATTAGTTAGTGTAGTAGTCCAAAGAAAATATTAGTATAATTCAGTTTTTGCAAGGAAATATACCTACAACTGAGCCAAAGGCCACAAAACAGAACATGTAAACCAAGGATATGGCAAGGAAGTATGCATAAGAAATCATCCAATAAGGACCATCCCCAAGCCCATGCATTTTCATCATGATCCTTAAGTTTTGTTGCTTCTCATACACCAAAGCTGTTAGTACAATCTGCAACAAGAATAGTAATTTATTCTTTAAACCCTGTTTACTGGGTTTTGGCATGCATTTAACCGGGACTCATACTGGTGTCAATGGGACAAAATTTCAATTTTATGTCCCACCCAAAAAGGAGGGATGGGGACTCGTTCTCAATCTCTTGTCTGTGCAAAAGACGTGAATGCCCTCCTCCTCATCATCATCAAAAATAACCCTAGAAATCTTGTCTAGTCTTGTCCTGTGTAACAAAACACAGCCTAAGAGGGAATAGTTGCTAATATGAACTTCAGAGAAAAAGACTATGTTTGTTGGCACTAAATCTAAACAATTTTTAATTTTAAAAACTAACTTACAGGGAATAGTTGCAAAATGACCCATGTAAAGAATAATGGTCCAAGGAGAGAAGAGAAATCCAGTCTGATTTCTGTTTCAGGTTTCGGCGTCTCTTTTATGAAATCAAACAGCATTTGTGTAGAAGGCCCAAGCAGAAGTTGTAGGAAAGCATTTGAGACCTGTATGCATATAAGTTGGAAATGTTATAATTTGCATTATGGTTTTCATGAAAATATGTTCTATTAATTCCTATTTGGGAGAGCCAATAATATGAGTCCACGATTACATGCCATCTGATCATGGGAAAGAAATAATATTTTTATATTTCATGCTGCAAATATTGAGTGTGTACCAAATTTATTGAGCGAGGAACCCGGACTGTTCCAATGGGACCATTTCCTGTATCATTCTTGTAGGTAGAGTTGTACCAAACTGTCACATTATAATTGTTGGCATTTGAATTCAAGAAATCATAGCCTGTGAAAATGTTAAAATAAAGAATTAGAATCAAAGCTTAGACAGTTACTTCGTAAGTAATCAAACTATGTTTGGATCACCCAACCTGCTAATATCTCATTTATTTTCTCTTCAGAATTTCCCTTCCTGTATCCCGCATACAATTCGTTGTTAATATCAGTAGAGCTGTTGCGCCATAAATGTTGGCCTTGAACACATCTAATTTCTACATTAAAAATACAAGATCAGTTGGACAATAACAAGAAAAACTTGCCATCAGTCTATATGATGTAGGGGCATCCATGTCATTTTCAGCTAATACAAGACCTGCCCATTTCATGTGTCTAGATCACCTTGGGCTTTGGGTTCAAAACACTTAAAGGGAGGAGTATAAATTTTTGGCAGCCCTAGATCTCTAAATGAAACAAGGATGAACTATAGTACATAAGACAAGGAGTTCTATGCTATTGTATGTGCCCTGGATCAGTGGAGTCAATATTTGCAGCCAAAACAGTTTGTTCTACATTCTGATCATCAATCTTTAAAGCATATAAATGGCCAAAACAAGTTGAATTCAAGACACACAAAATGGGTAGAATTTCTCCAATCATTCGCCTTTGTTTCAAAGTATAAAACAGGAAGTTCTAGCATTGTTGTTGATATATTTCTTAAAGGCATTATGCATCTTCATGGTGTTCCTAAGATGATATTTTCTGAAAAAGATGTCGAGTTCTTAAGCTACTTTTGGAAATCATTATAGAAGTTGTTGGACACAAAACTATTGTTCAACACTGCTTATCATCCACAAACGGATGGATAGAGGGAGGTATCGAACACTCACAACCTTGCTAAGAAGCACCGTGAGAAAGTCCTTGAAAGGTTGGGACATTAAACTTTCTTTTATTGAGTTTGCTTATAACCAATCTCCAACTTATGCTATTATGCACACCATTTTAAGTGAACTATGGAGTGAATCCTCTCACCCCTATTGATCTAATACCACTGCCTAAGGGTAGAGAAATCCACTTTGAAGCAACGAATCAAACCAAAGAAATGAAGAAGATCATGAACAAGTCAAAGACTCAAAGCAAAGATTGAGCATGTCAACGACTTGTACAAGAACAAGGCCAACAAGCATCGCATGAAAGCTCTCTTTGAACCTAGAGATCTCATATGGTTGCACTTAAGTAATCTTGGTGGTGTTTAGGAACTTTATCCTTGATCTAATCATATTGTTAACTTTACCCAATTCATATCACTCTTAATTATCATATACCCACTCTCTACGCATCACTATATCTACACTTGCAAGATATGATGTTACGAGTACTTTGTGTTGCATCATTTGCATCAAGCTATTAGCAATAAATCATCTTTGTCTTTTGCTGATATCCAAGCTACTAGAAATACAAGTATGGCTAGCAAAAGTCTTAAAAATAGTTCATACCTTTCTTCATTATCGTGGACGCCAGTGGGATCGAAATAGAAAAAGTGGAGTTGGCTCTGCACTGAGATTGAACATGGTAGAGTGGAAGACTTGAGAAGAAAGCAGGCTCAAGAAAGTTGAATATCTGAGTCTCCGAAGCTGACCCCTGATATGTTCCAAAGAACCATGCCCCAAAGGCCAAAACAAAGATGTTAATAATTCCCATCACATAAATCTGAATGATCACACTTAGAAGATGTGATGACAGGGGGTAACTAACCAATACGACATTAGCCAGGCCATCAGATGAGTTAAAATTGGATGAAATTGGGAATATATTTCTAGCCAGACCTATCAAAATATACATCAAACAGAAAATTATGTTGATAAGGATGTGAATATATACTGAATATGGACCGACATAAATTAGGGTAAGAAAGGAATAGAGTTGACATACTTTCTCCAAGAGATTGGTTATTCCCAGTCATAAGTACAGTGATAGGACAGGAACCTGTACTTCTGCAAGAGTCATTAGGCAAGTCTCCAAATGAAAGAAAATCAGTTCTCACTGCTCGAAACTGTGAATCAGGTACTTGTAACAATGGAGGCCATTCAGGTGGACTAGGAATGGAACACGTAGCCACTTGATCCAAATCTGAGTACTGAATCCCGCATACTCTCTCGCATTGACCATCCCCATTTTGATCAATACAAGTGCAACCACATTTGTTGGAGGGTTTATCTAATTCAGTGTTGACTATTGTTTGCAGTAATACAAGTAGCAGACAGAGGACGAGTGGGAATAATATGAGCCTCAGATTTGTCCTGATATTCCTTCTCTGATTTGAAGGGAAATGGTGAAAACCAAAATTAAAAGCAAATTTTTATAACGGCATGAGATCATAATGCATAAACACAAAAAAAAAAAAACCTGAAAGGTCAAATTCTTTCTGAACAAAGCGTTAGCCTGAGTCCAAAAACTAGAAGAACCGTTTGTTGAATCCGCCATTGACACACCTCTCCCCCTCTCTGCTTTTTCTCTCTCACACACTAGCACACACAACTGTTGAAATCGTGACCGTTAAAATTGGAATCTGGCGCCAAAAGTAGAACTTTTGGGAAGAATCGATCTTTTGCTTCGACTATTCTACAGATGCCTTTCGTATGTATTATAGCAACCTTACGGACTGCGAGTAAATTGACGGTATTGTCCTTGTGCTGACGCTCTGTTTAGTTGACAACAATACCCTTTTATCATTTCACCCCCTATAGTATCCCGTATTTACATTACGTCAAAAGTTTTTCTTTGACTTTATAATAACGCGCTTTTGATTAGTAAAGGCTCGGAACGTCACATTTAGTCATTTAATGAGTTTGAAAGTTTTATCATACATTTTGATGAAAAAAAAAAAAAAAGTTACGAATGGTGGTTGAATATATATATTGATACATTTTCGGTACTTTGTTAGAGTTTAACTTTTGCAAATAACAAATTGTGTCTAAGCCGTGAAATGAAAGTTCAGATTTTTGTTCTAGTTGAGACTCATAACACACCAAACTACAATAATTTTCGTTTTTGGGATACGTGTTATAAATGTTTTGTTTAATTTGAAAAAAAAATTAATATATATTTTTGGGAAAATGAATTATAAGCCCAACGAAGTTTCTAAACCGTTCAAAAAACCTCATTATGTTTTGTCTGTTCAAGAAAACCCAACGAACTTAACTTTTTATTAAAAAAACTCAACTAACTTACACTTCTCATTTAGGGTCAACCGGCTAATGAAAGTCAACGAATGACATGGCTTATTACGTGTAATTAAATATCGTAAAATGACTTGTAAGACCAACGAAGTTTCAAAACCGTTCAAAAAACTCCAATCACGTTTTGTTTGTTTAAAAAAATCCAACGAACTTACGTTTTTGTTCAATTCTCATTAGAGGCAACCATATTCATTAGGTATACAACTAGTTGGCAAATGACATAACATTATATTTAATGACATGGAATAAACATATTAGAATTGTCCTTTATATATCGATTTAGGGTTTGGAGAAGAGAAAAACGAACGACGTATGTGTTCGATCTCTTGTAATAGCTGCTTCTTATTTTTCCTCTCAATCGTTGATGTCCAACTCAAGATCTATAAAGAAGATATTTGATGATGCAAACTCTTGTGGATGTAGACCTGAACTTTTTTCCTCTCAATCGTTGATGTCCAACTCAAGATCTCTTATTTTTCCTCCCATTTGTTCGAACAAGCCCTGAACTTTTTTTTATGGATGATCCTCCGTTCTAGATGTCCAAATCCTAGAAGGGCGTCCACATCCACAAGGGTTTTCATCATCAAATATCTTCTTTGTAGATCTTGAGTTGGACATCAACGATTGAGAGGAAGAATAAGAAGTAGCTATTACAAGAGATCGAACACATACGTCGTTCGTTTTTCTCTTCTCCAAGCCCTAATTTGATATATAAAGGGCAATTCTAATCTGTTTATTCTATGTCATTAGATATAATGTCATGTCATTTGCCAACTAGTTGTATACCTAATGAATTTGGTTGTCTCTAATGAGAATTGAACAAAAATGTAAGTTCGTTGGGTTTTTTTCAACAAACAAAACATGATTGGGATTTTTTGAACGGTTTTGAAACTTCGTTGGTCTTACAAGTCATTTTCCGATATTTAATTACACGTCATAAGTCATGTCATTCGTTGACTTTCATTAGCCGGTTGACCCTAAATGAGAAGTGAACGGAAGTGTAAGTTAGTTGGGCTTTTTTAGACAAAAGGTTAAGTTCGTCGGGTTTCTTGAACAGACAAAACATAATTGGGTTTTTTGAACGGTTTGAAAAGTTGATTGGGCTTATATAGGGGTGAGCATTTGGACCGAACCGGGCCGGACCGGTTATGGAGAATATTGTGGATCGTGGACCGGACCGGATGAGTCGTGTCTGTGTCCGTGTCCGGGTCCGGGTCCAGGTCCGGGTTTTCCGGTTCTTGGACCCGTTTGGACCGGTACAACTTTAATTGCATAGAGTACAAGTCGTTAAAATAAGTTTTTGGGTTTGATAGAACTCGTTAAAACGAATATGTTATTGGGTTTGATACGATACAACTTGTAAAAATGATTACGTTTTCGTTTCATTCATAACTAATCTACCTTGATGTTATAATATTATAACTTGCAAAATTAATTTTCCAAATAAAAGCAACCAACATATAAATCAAGTTCACCAAGATCCCTTTCATATGATTTATCTGTCAAAGATACATAAAATTTAGAATTATAGTATAAAATAATAGTTAAAAAGCTGAAATATTTCAACTTTGATAGCTCAACTTTGAAGGATTGTAACTCACTGAATATAATACCAAAATCAACAAAATTATAGTCTAAATTAATCTACAAACTGTAAACTAAATGTTGGAAAAAACCGAAGGTCAATCCGACTTAAAATGAATAAATTATGGTTGTTTAAAAATTTTCACAAATTACAAAATTTTAAAAATCTTGTTGAAAAGCTGAAATTTTCCAGCTTTGATAGTTCAACTTTGAAAGACTGTAACTCATTGGATATAATACCAAAATCAATAAAATTATAGTTTAAATTAATCTACAAACTGTAAATTAAATGTTAGAAAAAATCGGGCGTCAATCCGACAGAAAACGAATGAGTTATGGTTGTTTAAAAATTTTCACAGATTACAAAATTTTAAAAATGTTGTTGAAAAGCTGAAATTTTTCAGCTTTGATAGCTCAACTTTGAAGAACTATAACTCATTGAATATAATACCAAAATCAACAAAATTATAGTCTAAATTCATCTACAAACTGTAAATTAAACGTTGGAAAAAACCGTGTGTCAATCCGACTTAAAACGAATGAGTTATGATTGTTTAAAAATTTTCACAGATTACAAAAAAAAAAAATTAAAAATCGGGTCCAACCGGTTCTAAACCCGGTAAAAACCGGACCGGACCGGGAAAAAAACCGGACCGGTTTTGATGAATTCCTAGAACCGAGAACCGGCTCGGGGGTCCAAAAAAACGGTCCGGTCCGGTCCGGTTCACCGGTCCGGTTCACCGGTCCGGTCCGGTCCACCGGTCCAAATGCTCACCCCTAGGCTTATAAGTCACTTCCCCTATATTTTTCTAGTCGGTCATCTCGGTAATTTGTTGTAAGAAAAAAATAAATAAATAAATAATTTTGAAACTTCTATTTTTCATCTTAACCATGAGGCCGGTTAGTAGGAAACTACGAATACTCGTGGATGACGATCATGAAGTTTACATTTTTTTTTTGTTGGTCAACAAAGAGTTGCAAAACAAATATATATTTTTCGTGAAGTAAGATTGTTTAATTGTTTTAATCATAGAAATAACCATGTCAATTCCAAACATGAGTTGATTTTTTGTAACTTCTACATAATTTCACTTGCAAGCTCGAGTATTGTGGTTAGGAAGATCGGGTGCACGTTGACCTACCAACTATTAAATTTATTTAATTAAGTGACATCAAGACATTACCTTTTGCATTAAGCCGTTAACCATGAAGAAAAGCATCAAAATATAAAATATGTTTTTGACCCGGTTAAATCAAATAATACAACATTGATTAAAACCCAAATAATTAGTTTGCAATTACTTTGGTTACAACATAAAATCCTTAGCAATTTGATAGAGAGGGAAAGACGTTGTATAAACTAGAAGTGTTTAAAGTTTGATAAATTAAACTAAAGGGGTCAAACAGAAACGATAAGGAAAACCTTAATGTGGTCCTTGTAATTAGTATTTGTTATAAAATCAAGCTTTTCATATTAATTTAATTTCATCTATTTTAATTTATTTTGTAAATATTTAAGCTTTCATAAATTTCTCTACATATGTTGAAATCATGTTTTAGTTTTTTTTTTTTTTTAACCTTTTTAAGATTATAAGATTTTAAGATTAATTAAACTATAGACATTAATACAATATGATAATAATATTAATTTGTTTAAAAAAAAAACTGTTTTATTTGTGTGGATTGTTATAAACGAGGTAGTCAACTTGCATGCAACTTCTTGGAAAATCACAGCAGGCGACCATTGCTTTCATTACGTCTCTCATGACGCATTTTGCCAAGCAAAAACCATGAAACTTCACACTTGGCAGTTGGCACACTTCTCACCCCCTCATTATTTATTCTATTATTTGTTTATGTATTGTTTTAACAGTTTCTCATACAACAAATTATAAAAACCGAAAACTATTTATGTATGGAGGTTTAACCGTAAACGACATCGATCTTTTATGGAAGTGATAGATTTAATATTTATATTATCAAAAGAAAAATAAAATAAAATAATGTTCATACTTAAACAAAAAAAAATTAATTATAAGTTTTAATATATTTATCTTTAAAACAATGGAAAATTGCATAAAAAAAACACTAGGTTTACACAAAAAAATCGATTTTGACATTATGTTTTATTTTTTTCTCAATAAATCCACTAAGTTTACATTTTGTTGATGATTTTGTATCATCAATGTGTATTTAAGTGTAATAGATTGATTTGTTGACCAAAATCAATCTTGATGAATATTAAACAAGTAAGGAAGGTGTGGAGTGCACACTTGTTTACATTTATTCAAGATTCAAAGTAGACTATCATTTAGGGACGAAGCCCCTGAACGAACGGGGGTCAGGGGGCAACGCCCCTGGGAGCGGGGTCCAAGGGGCGGCAGCCCAGGCGGGGTCCAAGGGGCAGATCCCTTGGCTGGGGCCGAGCTGTTTTTGTCCATCATAAATCTGCATTTTTGGAAATAAACCCGGTTTTTTACTTTGTTTTGATCCTTATAGAAAAAACCCGGAGTAGTGACAGTTTTCAGACATCAAACTATTTGTGTGACAATTTTCAAACATACAACTGTCTTGTGACAGTTTTCTGATGAAAAAGATGTTTAACTAATTTTGGTCTTCATTTGATGGTACACATGAAATTCATAACAACCAGATTTTCTGTTCTTGCTCTCAAATTTTGAGTCTTATCCGATTAAAGATTGGGAGTACCACCCAAATACTTTAATCTGAAAGTGATACCACAATTCTCAGAATTTCCAAGCCTTTCTATAACCCAAATTTCTAACACATTTTTGTTGCAAAT